AGTTGGTGCATCCCCACTTGTACCGCCGCCCTTAAGTGCAGGCAAATGGTGGCGCTGATTTCTATGACGTGTCCCGATTTCAATCTCGGTTTTTAAAAATATACCCATGAAATATTTCTAAGGGCGTGACTATAGCTCCCCTATCCACCAGGGTCGCCGCCGGCCTGCCTATATAATATAGAGTCCAATATAGGGGAGTGGTACTACACGTAGTACATTACACACATCGACTGCATTTATTCATTAACTCTCCCCCCCCCCCCCCCCCCCCCACCCGCCTGACCTGCTATTCAAATGCAAATATGACCACTGAAAACAATTTCCATGATTAGTCTGCATTACCATACGGCCATCCGATCATAGCTATTTTTAGACGCGATATGTCCGTAAATTGATATCACGGGATCGGGATGTGGCTAGACGTTTTATTTTTTGCAAAGGTACACTTGCCTCATATTGTGCACTGCTGAATACATACACAACAATACTATGGCATATGAAACGCATTAATTCGGAATATTTATGGCCAATGAGAATAATTTCCATGGTTAGGCTACCCGACACCTTACCGCCGCCATATCACAGCTATTTTTAGACGCGATACGAAGATTGATGTCACGGGATGTGGCGCCAAACGTTTTATTGCTGTCTTGTCTGATATTGTGCACTGCTAGAATACACGACACAATTGCATAGCATTGATTCAAGATTTTGTTATGGTAGCCATATTAAAGGTAATACAAAGTTTTGGTACGGGATCATGAATTTGGTTCAAATGAACATATTGGAAGCGTATGCGATCCTACAATATTCAGTGATCGTTGTCGCAGTTGAAATTGAGTCTAAAGTTATGAACTCTTTATGTTGTATAGCTCCCTCTCAAAGTCAAGATATTAATTAACTATAAAACAAAGTTTCTTGACTAAAATCGACCGATTAGCTATTCCCGTTTGGAAATTATATATCACAACTACATACATGTATTCTGATAGTTTCATGGTCGCAGCTACGTACATTATACGGCCGTAGGCGCTATTTGAAGTTTATCAAAATTTTTATATACAGTTTTTCTCGAAAGCAGAAGGGTTTTAGCAGAAGGGTTTTAGGGGCTACATTTTGTAGTGCTTATAATAATCCACAGGGGCATCCAAATATACCAAAATTGTTAAGATTCACTATCCAGCCAATTTTCGAAATTTCCCAAAACTTTGTATTACCTTTAAGAATGCTCTCAGGCTTGGTTCTAGAATATTAAGGGGAGGCTTATAGGGCGGGGGCTATAGAGTGCTGGGGTTCTTTCATTCTTTTTGTACACGAGCCTTGCCTGTGCTCGAATCCAATCTTAATCAAGATTTTCTCTTTTTTCTGGGGGGGGGGGAGCGATGTATAGTGGGACATGGGCAACGGATCCAGTCGGCGGCATGGGAAGGGGCTAACTAGGGGGTCCAATACGTGGGAAATATTAAGCAATAAGCGGGGGGGGGGGGGGTAAGGAGCACTAATTTTTCCCCCCAATTCGTGAGAAAATATTTAGCTCTGTATTTTTTTGTTTTCGTGCCCCAACGGGGGGAGGGGGTGAAGGTAGTGAGCATTTCTTTTTTTACTCAACACCCCCCCCCCCCCCCCTTGAGCTAGGGGGGGGGGGGTCCGTCTTCTTTTTTCTATAAAAAAAAGGGTTTAATTTACCTGTTTGGGGGACCAGGGGAGGGGGCTCCCTTAGATCCGCCACTGGATATGGGAGTCGACACATCGGGACATTTTTTTTGACAGTAGATGGTAGTATACGTTAATCTGAAGTTGTGTCAGTATAAGGCCAAGTAACAAAATATAACGTGTTTCTCGTCGGGACTTTAAAAAAAAGGAGGAGGCAGGGCATTACTAATTATTATTTTGCCATTTTTTCCCCAAGATGGCTGCCATGCTAGATATAACTGGCCGAGCCTATTTATCCACAGATATTGTGCTATATGAGTATACTGATGCATGTATGACAAAACAATTGATGTGTATCATTTAAGAAGCTATTTAAATAAAATCTATACTACACGCCTTTTTTGTTGCTTTTTTTCTTCTGAATATTAAAAGTACCACAAAAAGGAGGCGGGCGGGAACGGGAAACACTTCATTTTTGTTATTTGGTCTCATACCTTTCCTTTGATTCACCTATATGATTAAGATAAAGAATAACGACACACATCACATTTGGCAATAGGAAAGACAATATTAGGCGACATTTATTATGTTCTTTCAATTAAATATAAAATACTCAGCTCAATAAAAAATCACATATAATTAGATTCACATAACAATTTTTACAGATTACCATGTGATATTGCCACCCTTAAAAATAATGCCAAGGGTCATTTCCGTATATACATACTATATGAGTTTCAGTTTCAGTTTCAGTTTATTTTCATATTTCTCACATGTTGTATAATACATCATTACATATAGCATGTTACATTTTGAACTCATTTTAGGATGCGTTTATACAACAACAAAAAAAGAAAGAATGATACATAAGACTAAGTTGAATAAGGGAAGAAATATGATGGAGCCTAAATAGAAAGCAATGCTTGTAGGTCATGAGGCACATTTACTGAAATTAATTGAATATAATTAATACATAATAATAGTAATAATTATAATAATGACAATAAGGATGATGATGATAACAATAATAATAGTGATAATATTAATGATAAAAATGATGATGATAATAATAATAATGATAATAATAATAAATAATAATATTCATAAAAATAATGATAGTTATAATAATTATTTTTTTTTTAAAATCATTTATAAGTAATAAAGAGGACTATCGTGATGCAACCGTTGGCTGAATGCATGTCAGTGTCATATTTTGTTGCATCACGTGAGTCCTCTATTCCTCCGAAACAATTAAGCGTCTCTATACATTAATTGAGTAAATTGAATTATATATTTGATATTTTGTTAATCTGAAACGAAACTATTTGTCAAGACGTAGTACACAATAATTTCTGTTAAAAATCCCGGCAATCATGTCTTATGACATCGTTATGAATTATATGTTTAGTATTGTTTGTCCTACTTTGGCAGTTATAAGCCATGACCTGGACTACTCTAACTATTATGTCTGTGGCTGTGCAATTTTTTTTCTGTTTATACTATATTCTTTTAATATTAAATATTGACAATAAAGTGATACAAAATCCACAACAACAAAAAACAATTGCAACCACAAAAATCAATTGCAACCACAATTAGAATTAGGATAAATTATGTACCGTCTGTCAGGGGGGATAAATTATGACACTGTTAATGAAAACCCCTTCATACACTGGATCTACAAAAGGCTTTAAACCTCACCAAATACTATTAACATTATTAAAGGGAAAGTCCGCTATCATATTAAATGGTCGATTTCAATTGAACTAGCAGATAAACGAGAGAAAGAAAAAAATTGAAATTTTGAGAAAGTCATGAATTGGCAAAGTTGTAACTTATCTTTAAAGCATCTACCTGATCTGTAGTTGGAAAAAGCGATCATATTTTCTTTTAACGAAAATATTCAATAAATTGTACACGCATCCTCAACATGATTGCACATATATTTTTGACACAATCCCTACATAAAATATATCAATTTCCATGAAAACCCGTAAGATGTTGGAATCATGAAATGTTCAGAGCAAAGCAATTGCGAGAAGTAATCCAAAGTTACGTGAAAGAATTGAGAAAAGTACATATTTTGCTATTACTATGATGTAAAATGAATACAAAAACTATAATGTATATTATATATAATATATATATATAAGGATCAAACCCAGGACAATTGCATTTCCAGTCAAGTAATCGGACTATATATATATATATATATTATATGCATACACTCGACACCTCGAATACATAGAACCACTGATCTCGATCCAAAGAACATTTTCTGTGTTATTAGAGAGCAGGATTCGAAAGAAAGAGTAAAATCTATATCCCAAACGACGAGTTCTGAAATTCCTGAAATGTCGGAAGTAGGAATTCCGTTTTTACGGTACGTATAAGTAACTAAACCGGATACGGTACATGTATTATAAAATATATAAGGAGTCAATAATTCGTGATAATTTCTGATACATAATAATGATAATTTCCGAATGTGTAACGTATATTATTCGCATATATGAATATACATATTCCCTTTTTACGTTTGAATAGTATACACATCATCGCGCTGGCCTTCTCATACATTGGTTCAGGTGTGTTTTTTAATATTTTTTTTAGGGGGGGGGGGGCTATTTATAGAACAGTAGAGACTATTTTGAAGAAAAAAAACACATCTTCAACATTGGAGCCATTTTATCTGTATATGAACGAATTGCAAATGATAACGCTTGATAACTGATTTAATTGTTTTGAATGCTAACAAAGAATACATGTATGGATACATATTGAAGCGCATAGGAACGTTGTATTGTAATGTAATATGCACTTTACAAGAACGGTTCATCATTATCATAATTGTTATTAATAATTTTTATTATCTATGCTAGTGTGTACCGAATCTATTGACAAGCAAGAGAAGATGGACATTTTTCAACACTTATTATACAAATATATCCCACATGTTATTCAGTGGCATTCAATGTAGTACAGAATTGACATTGATAAGATCAATATAGAATATGTTCATAATTTTATTGATACTGAATAATATCATGAACATTTGAAACGTTCCTACCATGTACTAGATAGAATTCTTTGAACATGTATTTGTTCTGGTGGATGTATATCAAATTTGTATATTATTAATCTGCAACCTTGTATTTTCATTGACATTATCATCATTATTTTGGGGAAACTATAATTACAAGAGTCTATAAGATACGAATTTGGAAATATGTTTACAATTTCGCGAATGTAACGTCGTTGAATTGTTAAATTATAAATTTGTAATCTCTGAGTCCTCCGTGCTGTTTCCCAAATCCAGAATTGCTGTTTACGCATTACTGTCACTTTCAACTATCAAGACTCTGAGCTGTTTCCGCGAGTTCATAACGACCATTGCTCATCTGAGAGTACTTCACTGATGAGAAGCCACATGCCTTCAACGTCAGCTTGGTGATGCCGTAGACCAGAAAGAGAACCAGCATGCCGATTAGGATGTGCCATGTGAACATGACGGTAGTCAACATAACGTTGAGATGGTCCTCTCCATCCCAAGGTTCTCCTGAAGGAGGTTTGTAGAGCACTATACCCAAGTGAAAGAACCAGGTTCCCTGGACTAGAGTGAAAAGAATCCGGATGAGACGTATTAAGGTATCTTCTCTGGACCAGACCTCCGCCGCTGCTGTCAAAAAGCACACAAAGATAGCGAAGACGAGCATGCTGTGAAGGTGGATTTCGAGAGGGCTTCGACCGTGGGTGTGGTAGTAGAAAAGAAACCCTTCCACGGCATACGCCAAAGCACCAAGAGCGTGTTCAAATTTTGCTGCAGAAGGGACACAGGTACTCCCAAGGATTTTGACGAATCCATAGAGACCAAAATATAAGTACATGGAGCAGTGCCCCCATTCTACGTCATTTTGCCAGTGGCCGTCCTTGTCGACAAGGACCAGGACCGGTTCCGAGTACGCCATCTCGACACCGATGCCGGCAATGCCCGCGAAAACGATTAATCCTGCCTCAAGAGGTGCGCGATGCAAACAGTACATCACACGAGACCGGGGCCGCTGGCGACCGTTGTCCAATACCACTATGGAGTATGCAAATTGTATGATCCACCAAATAGCGACGATAATGAAAAATCCACCGGGTACTGCATGTCCACCAAACGAACCCATTTTATCGTCTTATCTGTAACTTCCTTGAGGTAGATTCACTCTCTTTCCAGGGAGGTGTTTAACTCACATACCCTGCTCTTTCCTTCCACCATATTGTACTCGATGTAAGATGTACAGTCGTGTTATGGTATTCTGTGGAATCCTCGATCGCACAGTAGGCTACAGTACCATCGTGTACCATGTAGTCTCTCTCTCTCTCTCACTCTACCTCTTTCTCTCTCTCTCTCTCTCTTATGGAGCAAAATGCAAACACGGGAAACGTACAGTGAGCCATCTGTGTACAAACGCAACCATGCAGCGGCTCCCTTGGTTTCAATAAATTTGAAAGTCAACGGGCATAACATACTGAAAAGATGCATTGTATTGGATCTCAATAAAAAACATGTTGTGTTCTCAAGCAGACTGTGTATTGGGTGACTGGGTTCTGGTGAAATCCGATTCATGTGTGCACTGCATATAAATTTAAAGATTGAGTCAAAATAATTCTCATAATTCTGCTGAATGTCAAACCATTACTTTATAGGCCTCCCTATATACCTAATGAGGCTTTCTAGTAACTTCTTGACGGTTACTTTCACAACGTAAGGCCTACAAGCTTTGTATTGCCCTTTGGGTGCCAAAACATGGGTCGGTCGGTCGGAAATCTTCTTTTTCCCCTTCCCTGTTTGTGCTGATATTTCTCAGTTTGGAATGCTTTAAATAAATATATTTTTTATTCATTAAACATTTTTTCCCCAAAAAACCGGTAAAAAAAAAAAAAAAAAAAAAAAAAACTATTTTTAAAAGCCGACCGTAGAGTTCAAAATGTTTGGGTTGGTCGCAAGGGGCAATACAACATCTTTTTTAACGCCTAATTGAATAACCAGTACTCAACTTTATCTTTAATATATAAGAGACGCATTGACAAATGATGAACGTTTAATGTTGTTTAATTTATAAACAGACATTGTGGCATACAGATATGCGCCACATAGTTAGCATGTTGCAGGCGAATGCACCGAATGCTTGCCATAGTTATCATCCCTATTGCGCACGTAACGAACGTTCTTAAAATTAATGTAAACGATATCATTTTGCCGGCAAAATTTCAATTGATTAACACGAATCCCATAAAATTTCGTTGAATAGTCCCGTCTAATTCAAATTGAAAGAAAAGCCTTAAACTTTGGTTGAGTCGACACACGATGCTATTGAATCTTCATAGATAATCATTGACCTAAGTCTATAAAGGTCATGGAGCGCTATATAAATGGAATGTTATTGTTATTACCTTATGAACTTTGAATAGTGAAAGAGGTATTGTGATTTTGAATAAAGAACACAAATGTGTCTAATGCTATGGTCACACTATCCAAAAGTAGCCTGCTCGGCGGCCGAGCGGCGAGTTTTTAACCAATTCTGCCCGGCCACCGAGCGGCCGCCGCCTTAGTCCAGATTCAGTCCGTTCGTTCTTTTTATCCCCCACACACAGCGCAGTCTCTCCACTGATCGCGCAATCCCCAAATTTTCGTCCCAGATTTAGAGGAATGGCTAGGTCTACTTTCAACGTTGAGGGTGTGTTATTTTATCAGCTGATTGGGTGCGCGAAACGAAAACGGTACAGAGGCTGGACTACCGCCGCCTAGGCACCGCTCGTTTTTAGGGCATCGCTCGGTCGCCGCTGAAGTTTTAGCGCGGAGTTAAAATTTGGCGCCGCCCAAAATACGCTCGGTGCCTGGGCGGTCGCCGCCCGGGCACCGACCTAATCGCTGGGCGATGCCTAAATTCCAGCAGCGACCGAGCAGGCTACTGATCGGCCAGTCGCTGCTCTGATTTGTGACCATAGCTTAAGAGAACGGATGTATGCCGATATCGTGCAAGCATAAATGAATCATAAATGAATTTCAATTCGAATTGTACTAAACATAATTTGCTATCGTAAGTTCAAATGTGTAATGAAAGGATACAGCGTTTCAGGTTGTTCCTTTTTCACTCTACAATATGGCCTACTTTGCCCTACAGTTCGCCTTCTTAAAGTTGTCTCGAGTCTCGATCTTCCCTTAAAAACAATAATAATAATAATAATAGAAAAATAATAATAATGATATAAACAATAATAGTAACATTGTTATGATAATTATGATACTTACAATAATGATAATAATGATAATAATAATGATAATATATGTTAATGCCGTTCTCTTCATTCTTCAAGTTCAAATTCAGATTGTTTATATTTGGTGTTTGGAACCCTCCCGTCCTTTACTCTATCAGAAGTTCGCCCCTTCCTCTCAAGTGGCTATGCAACCTTTCCATGCTATATCCTTTATTACAAACTACCGAAATCATGTGATTACAAAAATAACATGATGGTATAACGTGGTAGCAATTTACCAAAGGAAAATATTACTCGAGAGTCGAGCCAACCAAATTTTGTATTGTGTATCAGTGGCGGATCCAGGGGTGGGCCGAAACGGCCGCGGCCCCCCCCCCCCCTATTGGCGGCGCAAACAAATTGAGAAGGAAAAAAGAGCCGGAAGAAAAGAAGGGAAAAAATGAAAAAAAAGGAGAAGATAAAAGAAAAGAGAAGAAAAAAGAAAAGAAAAGAGAGAGAGTTCAAAAAAAAGAGGAAAGAAAAAGAAGAAATGGCACTAAAAATTAGTGACAGTAACGACGAACTAGAAATGCAATCGTGTCAGAACGGTGTGCGTGCAATGACGCCATGTTTCTACGTGTCAAACGAAAGAGCTTCTCTCGGACTATCCAGAGCAATTTGCACGAAGTCTGTAGCTTCTGTGATATTGGAGATGTAGGTAGGGCGAAAGAAAGGCATCAACAGTGACCTTGATGGGATGGTAGTGACTATGCCTACGAAGTTTGAAATAAATTGGGATAGGGGAAAGAACCTAGAAAGGGCTCGCAAGCACTGCGTGCACAAACCAATGGGATTTGGTGCATGTTTGACATTGCAATCAAGATCGTTCTGGGGGCCAAAAGCGTGAACCCGATATGCCCCATAGACAATGCGTGTAATGAATGGGCGGAAAACGTGCAGGATCTGTATTATGACCGGAGTTAAATTGTTTTTTCTCTCTCTCTTTACGTCTCTTTATGGGCCGTATTTGGTATCATTAGAAAGAGAATTTCATGGTTGTTATTGTAAACCACTCTCTTTTTTTCTATGATAATCCTATCGAAACACGTGGTGTAAAATAGATTTATAGGACAAAATGGCGTCTTAAATGGCCCCCTTGACCAATTTCAAAAATCTGGCCAAGAGGTGCCCTGCGTATTGGAACTCGGCATGTCACTGCAAATTTTCAAGGAAAAAAAAGGACGTTTAAGGGGCGAAAAGCAGTCTGAAAAAATGACGTCATAGCCGATACGTGTTAGATTTGGGCGGAAACTCGGCGGAATTCGTAAAGTGACCCTTGTTCAAATGCGATTTACTCACAATTTTCTGTATGAACATATACCATACTTGGTATCATTCGAAAAGGCACTTCATTGCGGTCAGTTTGACACCATTGCCATCCGCGCGGAATGTATTGCACGCATTAAACGCGCTATTACATAATGCATAGTAAATTCATCATTTTTGACGATAAATTTGCGCTGACATATTCGAATTTTACTTAACTTGGCAGACAGTTGTCACGTATATGGATACATATATCTGCAAAGTTTCATTGAAATAGGTATAGAGATCGCCATTTTAGAGCAAGTTGAAGTTATTTTGGAATTTCCTCGAAAATGGCGAATTTGGAGGGCATTTTTCTCAAATTTGGTCAGTGTTAGGGTATATAATTTTGTATATGGCTGGAAAGGGCATATCTTCAAGTATCTAAATCCAAAAAAGGGTACGGGTTTGCCAAGCCATTATGGAGATACGGCCACAGAGAGAAAGCCAATTCCCAGAACTTTAGAGGGCGCTATTTATGTTGTGCAAAGCCATTGGAGCGTGAAATTTGGCATGGCTCTGTGCAATTATGAGATAAAGATACTGTAAGATTTAAATACAAAACGGAATTTATATGAGAAAGTTATGGCAGTTTTAGATTATTTAGGGGTCCATTTTTCAAGAACTTGAGAGATTTTTGACGGAGTCGGTTTTAGATTTGAATTTCGAGTATGAAGATGGCATTTTGAAGGTCAAGTCATATGTCGCAGATGAAAGAACATCTCTCAGACTATCTAGAGGAATTTGTTAGAAGTTTGTAGGATCTAGGATAGTGGAGATAGGAAGGAAGATATAAAGGCGTTAAAATGGACCAGAAACGGACAAAATGGCGCCTGGACGGTCATGCATGAGTGATTTCCAAAATCGAAGAATGTAGTGACCTTGATGAGATGTTAGAGACTATGCCTATGAAATTTGAAAGGAAAAGGACATGAGGAAAGCACCTAACTAGGAATCACAAACACTACGTGCAAAACGAATGCGATTTCCTGACGATAAGGATAAGGATAAGGAAAAGGAAAAGGAGAATATTAATGGGGCAGAATGTGAACGAAAACAAGGCAATGACGAAGATCGTCATTGCAATAAGGGAAAGACAAGGGGAGTGGGGGGGGGGGGGTGTGCGTGAAGGCGGATGCATTGAGGGGGGAGTAGCCTATAATCTAGGCGGAGTGCCGAGCTTTTTTCTTTGCTGCTAGACTAACCTTAAGCAGAACGTCTGATACGGCGAGACTACGAACCGTGAGCCGCGAAGCGGCTCACCGCCTGCGTCTTATTTTTTCGTACCACGGCGAGCCCGGATTCCTGTTTTATCATGAATATTCATTAGGCAGGGCCGGGGAAAGTCTCGATTCTC